AGAAAGCTATTTTCCTGGTAAGAAAGGGATAAGGCAGGGTGATCCTTTATCACCATACCTTTTTGTCATTTGTATGGAGGTTTTATCAAGGATGCTCAACAAAGCAGCCAAGGAAGGAACATTACCTTTCCATCCAAAATGCAGTAATGTTGGACTGACTCATCTATGCTTTGCAGATGATTTACTAGTATTCACCGACGGTTCAATGAGAGCAATAAGTGCTGTTGATTCTATATTGAGACAATTTTATTTGGCCACAAGTTTAAAGGTGAACTACCCTAAGTTAGAAATTTTTTGCTGTGGAACGCAACCTAATGAAATAAGGGAGCTAGCTGATTTGTATGGCTTCAAAGTGGGAACCCTTCCTGTTAGGTACCTTGGGGTACCACTTATAACTGGAAGACTAACATATGCTACTTTAAAGCCTCTCATCACAAAAATAACTGAGAAAATCAGTTCATGGACTTCTAGATATCTGTCATTTGCAGGAAGATTGTAGCTTATTTCATCTGTTCTTCAGAGCATAACAAATTTTTGGTGTTCTATTTTCATTCTACCAAAAAGAGTAATTAAATCAGTGGAGGGAATTTGCAATGCTTTTCTTTGGAAAAGTAGAGCAGCTAATGTAAGAGGAGCCAAGGTAAGTTGGGCAATAGTATGTCAACCAAAGATGGAAGGAGGATTAGGCTTGAAACCTTTGCATATTTGGAATATGGCTTGCATTTTGTGATTCATTTGGCTACTTTTCACCAAGGCAAGCTCTTTTTGGGTGGCATGGGTGCAAACATATCTACTTAAAGAAAAGAGTTTTTGGTCAATAGGAATTCCTATAGACACTACTTGGAGCTGGAGAAAAATCCTAAAACTTAGAACATATGCTAGACCTATGGTGAAGCATATAGTTGGTAAAGGTGACACTATTTTTCTCTGGTATGATTCTTGGCATCCCAAGGGACCTCTGATTGAAGCATATGGGCAGAAAATTGTACGAGATGCAGCCATTCCCTCTCAAGCAAAATTGTCTCATGTAATCCAAGGGGATTATTGGAAATGGCCTCCAGCTAGGTCCTCTAAACTATTACAGATTCAAATTGCTTTGTGTGGAATGTTATATCCTATTCAGGATATGGAGGATCAAGTTGTTTGGTTGGCTTCTCCATTAGGTTCTTTTCGAACAGGTGCTACTTGGAACTTCTTTAGGGAAAAAAGATCTAAGGTACCCTGGTTACTGGTTTAGACTCATTTGGTACTCAAATTCTATTCCCAAACATAGTTTTATTGCTTGGTTGGCTATATTAGATAGACTCGCTACCAGGTCCAGGCAGAAGAATTGGTCTTCTTCCATTGATGACACTTGTGTGCTATGTGGGAATTCAAGTGAAACTAAGAACCATCTCTTCTTCTCCTGTCCCTACACTACTCATATTTGGGAAAAGATTTCTTCTATGCTGGAAATCCCATTAACCTGCATTTGGCAAGATGCTTTGGATTGGTTATGTAAGAGAGTTAAACATAAGGCATTGTACAGCTCTCTTCTTAAATTAGCTTGGTGTGCATCAATATATCATATATGGATTGAAAGAAACAGTAGGATACATAGACAGCTATACAAATCTCCTTCTACAATAATTGATATGATTCAAATGGATGTTCGAGTCAAAGTATCGGGGTTTGTAAAGGAAAGGTCTTCTCCTATGTCAAGGAAAATTACAGCTTAATTGGGATTGGAAACTTTATGTACAGCTAAGGTTTGAACATACTTTAGTTTAGAAGTTATTTCATTTTTTGTACTGACATTAATAGCAACCTTAACCAAAAAGAGCTGCTTTGTATAGACTTTGGTAATAAATTCACATTTTACCCAAAAAAAATATTATAAAAATTTAAAATAATTTTATTCTTACCCAAAAAAATTAAAATATTTTAACTTTTTAAATAAAATTTTATGATATAATTTAAAAATTTTTTAACTAATTTTTTATAATATAAAGTTATACTTATTTTTTTGTTAATATAAATCTACTGAATACTTAGCATACGGTAATAAATATGCAATTCAAATTAGTTATTAAGAACTAACTACTTGTTAATTAAAGTGAAAAGAGTTTAATTTTTCTTAAATAAAATTTTGAATTTGAGTTTTATAAATAAAGAAATAAGTGTTAGGGGAGTTTCATCATTTTTGAGGTCTGATACTGTTTAATTTTAATTTTTAAATTAATTGAGATTAAACCTGATTATCAAAAACAAAAAAATTAATAAAAAAAATTAATTATCAAAGGAGTGATAGTATACCCGCAAAAAGAGTTGTTTATGTCACGTCTTGTTTTGTTTATGTAAAATTTAGAAGTGGGATACCAAATATCACCAAATTTTGTAAGGACATTCTTTTTACAATTGTGACATACTCCTCACCCTCATTATTTGTATTTAAAATTTGTAATATAAAAATTTAAAATTTTAATTGTTATCTTATTATTCACATTTAATATGTTTAATATAAAAATTTAAACCTTTAAATATTGAAATGTTAGAATATAAAATAAGAAAAAAATCCTCTTAATATACCTTATTTTTTTAATATAAACTTTTTCAAATAATTATTTTTTATTTCTTATCCCACCTCACTCGTATGTAATGCAACTTGAACTTAATATTACTTATTTTATTTTTAATGAATGAAAAAAAAAAAAGAAAAAAAGAAAAAAACCAAAGAGTTCTGGGTCGTCCTTATTTATTTATTTATTTATTTAATAGAAATCGTAAGTTAGGGAGGCCAGTACGCCACGCCGCCATAGTTCACGTGCCTTATAAAGGAGATTAACTTGAAGGTTAAAATGTCAATTTACTCCCTTAATTTTTAGATTTGTGTCAAATTACTCTTAAATTTTAAAAAGTATTAAAATTGTTTTTAAATTTTAATTTTTAATATTAAAATAGTCCTTCAATTAATAAAAGTCCCACATGACCCATTATTTTCTCATAAAATTAGCTTTTTTTAAAATATTAATAATATATAAAATGAAACAATCCTATTTTATTATTATAATATTTTTTCAATTATATATCAGATTGATATGTAATTAAAATTGAGTGATCAAATTGGAACTTCTAATCAAAATTAAAAGACTAAATTAGTACTTATTTTCAAAGTTTAAGTATTAAGTTGATACTAGATTAGAGTTTAGAGACTATTTTAATACAAAAATAAAAATTTAAAGATAATTTTAATATTTTTTAAAATTTGAAGACAATTTTAATATAAATTTAAAAGTTGTGGGATTAAATTAGTTATTTTAACCTAACTCGAATCAAAGCCGCGAGTCCCCGCGAATAGAACTTGAAACTCTCTCTCCGTCTCCCCTTTTTCCAGCGAGGCAGCGGCGACGCTGAAAAAAATTAGGGTTTGGACAAGCAACAACCGAAGCAATTCGCTGCGTAGATTTGCTCTCATTCTCCATTTCGCCACTTCGGTACTCTCTCTTTCACTCTCCCCTTCGAAACCCTCTGATTTCTCCTCTTACATTGCATTCAATTTGTAGTATTCAGTTTCTCTCGCCATTGAAATTAAAATGAATTTCTTCAATTGTTTACCTTTTTTCGATTTGAAGTTCCCCAAATAGAATCTTTCATTCTAATTCGAAGGACCCCCAATTTTTTCTTTTTTTTTTTTAATGGGGTTGTTTTCTATGGGTGAATTGCTAAAACGCCTCGGGCGAGTGTGCCTACGAATGAAATGTTAAAATCCTTAAAAAAAAAAAAAAAAATCAGATGAACACAAGAAAGTAGAAGTTCCTGAATCCTAGTTAGTTGTTGAAGGGTCACCTTAGTTTGATTCTGGGCTGGGTTTGGGTGCAGCAATTAGTGGGTTGTACAAGTACTGCAGGAGAAAGAGGGTTATTTTAACTTGTAAGTTTATTTTCTTTTTTAATTCAGTGTTCTGGTGTAATGCCGAATTAAACTACTGTATATCTACTAATTTGTTGGTTGGGAAGTAAGAAAAGCTTAAGAGAAACAATGTTTTGTTTTTCCCTTCTGTTTGCGTTTGATGGTTTCTCTTTGATAGCTTCTGAATGCATGGGGGTGCCACTAGTTGTTGAAGATGTATCGGATGGGCATGCCTTGTAGAAAATGACTGTCATTTGCTACTGCTTTCTTTATATGATTTAGATTTGTCTGATTATGGTGGAAATGATGCATATTCTTATTCTCATTTCTCCCTCCTTTATGTTGCTGTTTCCGTGGATTCTCTTACTGCATTGAAATTATTTCTTTTATGATTTCCAATTTTAGTTTGATTTCTCATTTCTATTTTTTTTTCCTTTTTTCCCTTTTTGTTGAATGCATCTTGCCAGATATACATAGTTAAAACATTTAGTGCCCGTTGTTGGAACTTGTCCATATCTATTTTCTTAAATTGAGAAATTCGTTGCTTCATTTGTTTTATCACTTACAAACATCACAGTCCTCTTTATTATCATTCGAAACTCTCTTGCCTGTCTCTATTTACTATTATTGCTATTTGTGGTCCCTTGGTTGAGATTTGAGAATCATTCACATTGCAACTCTTTGAAGCCATGGCAAGGATTCAATCCAAATTCTTATTCTGCAACTCCATTTGGCCTCTCATTTTGTTTCCTCCTTTCAACATTTGTCCTCTTTCTTTTGTGAATGCTTCTGGCTTCTGTGCTCTCTCCACAGTTGCCTTGCAAGCTTTCTATATTAGATACATAAAATGCCAAGGACAAGGGAAAATGCTGGTTCAAGTGCATCTGAGAAGCCTGTGGAGTCAGAAGAACAGGTGAACCTTGATGAAGACAATGATCATGAGGAGATGATAGAGGAAGAGGTTGAGTATGAAGAAGTAGAGGAAGAGATAGAAGTGGAAGAAGAAGAGGAAGAAGAAGAGGTGGAAGAGGAGGTAGAGGAGGAGGAAGAGAACACTGAGGTTGCTGATCATGATGAGGAGACGGAAGTTGTGGAGAGAGAAGAAGATGAAAAAAAGAAGCATATGGAGCTTCTTACGCTTCCTCCTCATGGATCAGAGGTCTACCTTGGTGGCATTCCTCATGATGCTTCTGAAGACGATTTGCGAAACTTTTGTGAATCTATAGGAGAAGTCACAGAGGTAAGATATGTTGCTACTTGATATCCAGTATTTGTCTTGTTATTTATGATTAGATTGACAACAGTTAACCATGCTGACCACAGGTTAGGATAATGAAGGGAAAGGATTCAGGTGAGGCCAAAGGTTATGCTTTTGTGACCTTCAGAACTAAAGAGTTGGCATCTGAGGCTATGGAGAAGCTGAATAATTCTGAGCTAAAGGTAATAGAAGCACCTTTTCCTTTTTGGCTTAATAACTGATCCATTTTCAGTTTTATTACTCTTTTTTACTGATTTTTCAAGCCAATTGAGATACTCATACAAGAATCATGCCTATTTCTCATGCTAATGTTATTGTCATTTGAAGTTTATACTTGAAGGCTTTCTTGAGAGTTGCTAAGGTGATTTTTGTCTTTTTTACTTCTTTCCAGGGGAAAAGGATCAGATGCTCATCATCTCAAGCAAAGCATAAGTTATTCATTGGTAATGTCCCTCGAAATTGGGGGGAGGAGGATATGAGGAAGGTTGTTACTGGAATTGGTCCTGGAGTTACCATTATTGAACTGTTGAAGGTTTGTGTGTTTTATTCTCCTCAATTGGTATTTACTGCTATCTGGAGTTATAGCTGCTAGGTCTTTAGTGTTGATCTATTTGTTTGTACTTCTGTAGCAACAATTCCTCATTTGTGCCCTCGTCTTTTTTACTTTATGATTTCTGATAAATTTGTTAACAAGACAGGATCCGCAGAACTCCAGCCGGAACCGGGGGTTTGCTTTCATTGAGTATTATAATCATGCATGTGCTGAATACTCTAGACAGAAGATGTCTAATCCAGCCTTTAAGCTTGATGATAATGCTCCAACTGTGAGCTGGGCTGATCCTAGGAATTCAGATTCTTCTGCTTCTTCTCAGGTTTTCATTCTACATTCACTGTTGCTAATTTGGGTGATATCCTGGAATTTATTAGCTTCTGATGCACTTTTTCCCCCTCTCGCTGTATCAGAGAATATATGTGTGCGTCAAACACCCTTCAGACCATGATTTGTTAATGTTCTGTATTTTATTGAGGAACATTCTTTTTTTATTTTTAATTTTAACTTGTTAACAATATGGTTAGATATGTCTCCTTTGTTAGCGAAGATTAGGATAATCATAGTTGGGAATCTTAACTTTGTAATTTAAAATTTTTACTTTTATGTGAATCATTGTCTACAGTAAAATTTTTGCAGACTAAATTAAAATTGTATTGCAGCATTTTTTTATATATAAAGGTTGTTAATTCATGATGATTGTCATTTAATGCAGGTTAAGGCATTGTATATCAAGAATTTACCAAAAGATATAACTCAGGATCGCCTGAAGGAGCTGTTTGAACATCATGGAAAGATCACAAAAGTGGTCCTTCCACCTGCAAAACCAGGACAAGAAAACAGCAGATATGGTTTTGTACACTTTGCAGAGAGGTCAACTGCAATGAAAGCATTGAAGAACACTGAGAAATATGAAATTGATGGTAGGATTGGCTCCTATCTTTCGGTTAGTTCCCTATTTCAGCATGCTGATGGGCATAATTCTAATCTCTTCCATTGACAGGTCAAGTTTTGGAGTGTTCTCTTGCAAAGCCACAAGCGGATCAAAAGTCTTCGGGAGGATCTAATTTGCAGAAGCCATCCATGAATCCAACCTTCCCACCTCAACTTGGATATGGTTTAGTGGGAAGTGCCTTAGGATATGGTCATGCAGGCTTTGGACAGGTAAGATGCCTTTCAAAAACTGAAAAACAAATTCTTGCCTGCAGATATGATCATGAAGGCTTGGGTGTTTGTCTTCATTATTCATCATTGCTATTGTTCATGGAGTCAGTGTGAGAAAGGATATTGTTGAAAGAAAGTTTTCGAAGAAAAGATTTTAGTTCATTATAGTCCTTGGGGGCATTTTAGGAGTTGAAATCATGTTTGTTGATTTGTTCATTTGTTGTTGGTCTTTACGAAGGTTTTAGTTGGGATTGACATAGAAGTGTTTATATCTTTTGCTGATAATCTGATATTGTTGTTAATATATTGCAGCCAATGATCTATGGCAGAGGACCAACTCCTGCTGGAATGGCAATGATGCCAATGCTTTTGCCTGATGGAAGGATTGGATATGTACTGTAAGTTCTATCCATTTTGTTTTTCTATTATCTAGTTGCACAAGATGTGTTTTACATCTTCTAATGGTCAATGGTAACCAATCACCATATGTATTGTCCGTTGACTATGGCATGTTAATGAGATTTTTTTTACTATTATCACCTTCCTTTGTAATACTCTGATAAGCATTAGAGATTAGAACATGGTCATAGTCCCCTCTTTGTGCATTAAGTTGTAATTGAGTTTTGCTCCACCAAATGTCTAAATAGAGCACTTGGCCAAGGGCCTGTGGCATATCTCACTTCCTAGAGCGTGCAGGGTACGGTTGATCTTATTTATTTTTTTGCTGTAGACAACAACCTGGAGTGCAACCTCACACCCCACCACCACAATCTCACCGTGGCAGAGGTGCTAGTGGTAGCTCAAGTGGAGGAAGGCGCGGTGGCGGTGATAGTAGCCGAGGACGCAGCCGGTATAATCCATACTAAGTTAATTTCTGGTAGCTTGAGTGGGTAAAGGCATAGCGGCACTGACAGGTGAGCTTACTCGCAATTGGTGTAATGCAAACCTTATAGTTTCTTAGTTTCTTTATTTGACCACAAATGAGAGGAACGGCATGTATCACATCTTAACAAAGCAGAGTTGTTGTAAAAGTCTTAACTTTTTGGATCTGTTTGTCAAAAGTTTTTTTTTTTTTGGTGAAAGATCGGTTTGTCAAAAGTTGAATGAATGCTATTTTGGTTTTACGTTCTAATCATGGGCAAAGCAGGAGACATTTAATGAAAAATAGAATGGCATTAATCTAATCAAGAGTAGCTCTATACAATAAAGGGTTTAAACTTTAAAGACTTTGAAAAACTTGTACAATCAATACACTGCATAATCCCTAGAGAAAACATATACAGTCAACTCCCTGCATAATCCCAAGGGAAACTCGGCAAACCGAGCAGGATAGGCCCGAGTTAAGCCGCTTCAACTCTTCTTTCTTCTCCTCCAACGCCCCAGGAATCTTCTGCATCTTCTCTTCTTTCATCTCCCTCAGCTCCTCTTCTTTCCGCCGTAGTTGCTTTGATAGGACAGGCAGACACACAACTGGATTTTCAGACAAAGACTCTAGAAAATCAGGACATTTTTTATACAGGTTTTCAATGCACCTCCAGTTCATGGTGGTAAGACGTTCTCTGATACCAGTACCTCCCACCCTCTTCTCCTTCAAAATTTCCTCCATATTCTCAGCTGCAGAGCCAAACCATGCCAATGTCATATCCAATTGGAACAGATCGTCTTCGATTTCATTCATCACCTTTTCTTGTGGTGTTTGGAGCTTCGGTGGTCTAGAGGCATATTCTGTTTGTTGGACACAGACTAAGGTGGAATTCAGTACTTTCCTGGGATCACTATCTTCGAATTCTAATGGAGTTGCAACCACCGTCTCAGAGTCAGAATCCGCCGCCTTAGGGTCATAATCCGGTAGGAATTCATAGCAGGGGGTGCAGCGTTTCTTCTTCTTGCTCTTTTCTGGTTCCGATTCAACCTCATGACTCCCCTTCCTCTTCTTCATTGGCTTTTCCGATTCGGCAAACCCATTAGGGTATTTTTCTCAAGGAATTCTCAACCCTCTTGGGTTTCAAGAAATTTACGCATTGCTCAAAACTGCGACTTTGCTGGACCATCATGCAAAAGGAAATCCATGATTGCTTGAGTTGGTAGTCCACAACTCCAGAAATTGACTGGCAATACATTCGAAAGCTTTGAAACTCCTTGATTAAGTCAGGATGATCTTCAAAAAGCGAAGTTACCCCACGATCGAGATCATCTAACTCCCAAATTCCTTTCCGAAGATTGGCAAAACCCTTTTTGGAAGAAGAACAAGCTATTATATATAGTTTCTTGTTATAATTCAGGATGGATTACTACACAAATAAAATTATATATTAATAGTTCTAATCCAAAAGGGAATAGAACTAAAATAAATTTTATATGTTGATAGTTCTAATCCAAGTAGTAGTTGGAATTAAAATAAAGTTAAATATCAGTTTTTATCCCTAAATTTTATAATTTTGCATATTTTTAATGTTTATTTTAAAATTTGCACTTTTTTTATATTTTAACTTAACTTAATTATAATATCAATTATTTAAATAATTCAATGATAATATCTTTTTAGTTAAAGTAAAATATTTTGAATTCAAATAGTATATTATATGTAACTAATAAAAAAAAAAAAAAGAACTTTAACTCAACCATGACGGACAAATTTTAGTACATCTGTTAACGGCATGCTGGCTAATCGGGTGCGGACATGGCCCTTAACCCATTAATAAGTTAAATTTTTAAAGGGACACTAATATACAAATAATTTTTTTATATTTTTTAATATAATTTTTATATATCATATTATTAAATGAATAAATATATTTAATGTTATAAGTTTTAAATGAATAAATATATTTAATGTTATAAGTTTTAAATAAATAAAAAATTAATTATTTAAATAATATGTAAAATTATATAAAAAAATATTACAAAAGATTATCTCTTGGTTATTTTTTTTAAATAATGCTATAATTACTACCCTATACCTCTTATTATTATCATTATTATTATTATAAATTTTTTAAATTTGTATTTAAAAATGTACTTATTATATTTTTAAGATTAATTTATATGAAAAAGAGAGATATTTTCAATACAAATATTGCACTATTTTATGCAGTTTGTCTACGGAGACATGAAAAACGATTTTATTAAGCATAATTTATTAATTTTAATATTAAACTACATAAAAAAGTATAATTCACACAAAAAAAACTTTTTTTAAAAATAAAAATTAATTTTTAAAAATAAAATTTAGTTCTATAATTTTTTTTTTTTAATTTTTCATTAAGAATGGGAATCATCACATGAGAAGAAAAATTTCTCATAAAATTTTGTAAAAAATGAAAATACTCTATTCACAGCATACCAAAAGAACATTCTTTCTCGTCCCACTGTAGCGGGGATTCTTGCGGAGATCAAGCGAAATTCTCATCCCTAAATGGTCACGTTAGTGGTAGCAATATCTCCCTATCCTCATGGGACCTATGGAGATCCCTATCACGGGGATGGGACAAAGAGAAATATTTTCCTTCACAAGACAATGATAGAGGCATTTTCCTCCTCCCCCGGTAAAATTTCATGAGAAATTTTTCCTGCTTCATTGAACTTGTAGAGATTCTTGTTCATGCAAAAATTAAAAAAATATGTATATTAATTTCATTTTTAACCTTCAAACCTAAATTCAAATTCAAATCAATGTAATCAAAATTAAACTTAATTTAATTTTACCTAACCCAACCTAACTCAACTTATAAAAATTAACTCAACCCATTATTAACCATTTAAACCTATTACCCTAACCCTTATTCATTTCATTTCTCATCACTATCACCTTCCTCCCTTCCCGGCTTCCCCTCTCTACCCTTTTGTGGCTCTGACGTCTGCACTCTTCTAGTCTTCTTCAAGAATCTTAGATCCCATTCCCTCCATTATTGTCCTTCAACCTTTCTCTCCCTTCTGCCTTTCTCTCCCTTCTGCCCTTCTCAGTTCTCACCTTTTGCGGTTTTGCCCTTACTTTCAGTCTTTCACCTTTGTGCCAGATTTGAACTACATACTGCATTACTACTCTCTGCTGTGCTGTTGGACTTAGAGTGGACTGCTAAGGTGCTACCAAGCCACATTGTTGCTACCAAATCCATATGAAGTTCTGGACTGTTGCTATTCAAAGCCATCTGCCTCTGATATGTTGGACTGCTGCTATTCGAAGCCAGCTGGGTTCGGTATCCAGTCCAGGATTCGGATATCAAAGAATGGAGGTTCCCGTTTCTTGGGCTTTTGCAGGAAAAATGTGTTTTTGGAATCAGAAGTTGAAGAAGGTGTTCAGGGCTTGGGCTTTTATTAAGTTTATATTTCTTTT